GTCTTTCTGTGGTTTTCGTATCAGTATAATACTTGCCTCTAGAAATGAGTTAGGGAGAATTGCATCCATTTCAATTTCACTGAAGACTTTGGGGAGTGTTGGTATTAAATATTCTCTGAATTTATTGTAAAATTCTGCTGTGAATCCATTCAGGCCTGGGCTTTTCTTTATTGGTCAGTTTTTATTCATGTTTTCAATCTCATTAATTGATACTGGGTTGTTCAGAATTTTTATATCTTCTTGATTCAGCCTTGGTAATTCATACATATGTAGGAATCTGTCCATTTCTTCTGAGTTTAGTGAGGTGGAAACATGGTCACTGACCTGAAATTATGCTACACAGCTACTGTAATAAAATTAACATGGTACTGGCTAAAAAATAGACCTGAGAATCAGTGGAACACACTGGAAGAAACAGCTAAAACCACAAACACACTCAGCCACCTAAACTTTGATAAAGGAGCCAAAGAAACTCAGTGGAAGAATGATAACCTCTTTAATAAATAGTGCTGGAAAAATTGGCATGCTACCTGCTAAAGACTGAAAATAGACCCAAGTCTATCACCATGCACCAAACTCAAGTCAAAATGGATCACAGATTTCAATATTAAAACAGAAATACTAAATCTATTGGAAGAGAAAGTAGGTAAAAATCTTGAAGACATAGGGGTAGGCAGAGAGTTCACGAACAAAAACCAAACTGCCCGTGAAATAATTCAAAGAATCAACAAGTGGGATGTCATACTACTAAAAAGTTTCTGCACATCTAAAGAAATCACCAGCAGAGTAAAAAGAAAACCCACAAATTGGGAAAAAAATTTAGCCAACTGTCTCTCAAAAAAAAGTCTTCTATCTAGAACGTATAAAGAATTTAAAAACATCAGCCCTCCCCCAAATTCAAAGACCCATTCCAAAAATGGGCAACTGAGATGAATACACACTTCTCAGATAAAGAAATACAAATGGCCAATAAATACATGAGAAAATGTTCAACATCATTAGTTATTTGAGAAATGCAAATTAAAACAACATTGAGATTTCATCTCACCTCAGTAAGAATGGCTAGCATTAAGAAATCAACCAATAACAAATGTTGGTGAAGCTGTGGAGAAATAGGAACTCTTCCCCACTGTTGGTGGGAATGCTGACCGGTGAAACCACTGTGGAAAACAGTTTGGAGATTCCTCCCCAGACTAGGTCTAGAGGTCCCATTCAACCCAGTTATTCCCCTTATGGGCATTTTCCCAGAAGATCTCAAAACAGCATATCACAGCAATATATGTGCACTCATGTTCATAGCAACACAATTTGTAATTGCTATATTGTGGAAGCAACCCAAGGGTCCATCCACTGAGGACTGGATAAAAAAGTTGTGGTACCTTTATTTAAATGAATATTATTCAGCTATAAAGAAAGATAAACTGGAGGCTTTTAAAGGTAATTGGTCACAACTAGAGACCATACACGTAAGTGAAATAAACAAGACCTCCGTGTGTAAGCAACGTATTGTCTCACTAGTGTAAGGATCTGAAAGAGTGAATAAAAATTAGGAGGTATGATAGATATTGTGAAATGAAAAGAAATTCTCAAAAAAAAAAAAGAGCAACTGAGATGAGGGAAAAGAGAAAAGAAAGAAGGGGAAATTATGTATGTATGTATGTATATACAGGTTAGCTAACATAGATGTATTACTGACTTGTACTGCTTTACTGAATGGCACAGTTAATGATTACTTATTTGATCAACCTTGCATGTCTCTATTTATTTTCCCAAGAAACCACTTTGAAGATATCAATATGTAATACAACAATCATTGTTAATTTCCTATCACTTTGTCTGTAACTCTGTATTGTTTGTATTGTTTTTATGCTATTTTGTAAATGGATGTCTGTTTGTTAATATGTTTTCCTTCTTTTATTTTTAAAATAAAATTAAAAAATAATTATTACTGATATATATTGACTTATCACGTTATTTTCTCACTGTTGGTTCTATACTTTTCTCCTCTGTTTAATTTCTTACCTTGCTTGGTGGTTCTTTTTTATTGTTGTTCTTGGATTTGTGGTCATTTTTATCTCTTTGGAGAATATATTTCAGTACTCTTTGTAAGGTTTGTTTGATGGTTATGAATTTCTTCAGTTGACCTTCGTCATGGAAGTGTCTTATGCCTTCATTAATTGGGAAAGATAGTTTAGCAGGTACATCAATTTTGGTTGTAAGTTATTTTCTTTCAGACCTTAAATACTTCACTCCAAGCTCTTCTTGACTTGATGATTTGTGTTGAGAAACCTGCCATGATTCTGATGGGGTTTCATTCATAGATAATCTGTTTCTTTTCTTGAATAGCTTTTAATATCCCATTCTTTTACCAAATTTCTTGGATCTTGATTATTATGTGTGTGGGTGAAGATTTATTTTGGTTATGACTAACTAGAGTTCTATATTGCTCACTTATGTGTATGTCAGAATCTTTTCCTATGCTTTGGAAATTGTGTGCTATTACTTCTACAAATAGTCTTTTTATGCCATTTGTGCTGCCTCCTTCTCTTTTGTTAACAGCTATCAGTCATATTGTTTTTCTTTCCCTCATCTTGCAGCTGTTGAATTGTTATTTCCTGGTTCCTTGTTATTTTTAAGACATCTTTTCTATTATGATTGCCAGCTGCAATGTCTCAAAATCTATCTTCAGTTTTGTTCAAGTGGTTTTGCCAGCTTTCAATGGAATTTTTAATTTCCTGAATATTTCTTTGAATCTGTTTCATGCATTCTAATTCTTCCTTATATTGTTCACTCAAGGTTTTCATCATTTTTCTGTGCTTCTCTAATTTTTATCCATGTCTTCTTTTGATATTCCTAGCAATCCTTTCTTTATGTTTGTCATTTTTTTTTTACCTGACAGAGTATTTCTGATCTGATTTCCTCTACAACCTGATGGTTCTTTACTTCAGTTGCTATAATTTCAGAAATTTCTGGTGTGTGACTTACATGTTCTTCTATGTTGATGTTTCCTAGACTTTTTCTAGGTGAGGTGGAGGGTTGAGATTGCATGTTGCGATTTTTTGTTGTCATTTTCAAAGCTCCCTAGGCTTCCTAAGATTCAGGGTCATTTCTGTAATACAAGTGGAGTGTGGACTTTAGGCCTTCCTGGACAGCTCACCAAAGCACTCCAGGTTTTCTGGGACTCAGGTTCATTCCCACAATGGCTGCAGGAGGTGGAGCATGGGGTCTTCGGCTCCCAGTCACCTCGTCAAGGCTTCCCAAGAATAAAGGTCCTTCTCATGATGATGGTGGGTGGTGGAACTTGGGTATCAGGCTCCCAGGCAGCTAGCTGAGGCTTCCTGGCTCCCAGGGTCTTTCTCACAATGGTTACAGAGGGCAGAGCATGGGGTTTTGGGCTCCCACGTAGCTCCTTGTGTAAAATTTTATTCTAGAAATTTCACTGACAGTCTGTGACTTACAAATTCCCTTCCTAATTGTGAAAACATCTATTATAAAAAGTGTAAAATTTATTTTTAAATATATATTTAATTTTCAGTGTTAATTATAAATGAGTTTAATGTGAAGAATATGTTTAAATGTGTATAATGTTTTAATTGTCATGAAAAACTTATTACACTGGAGAGAGTTTTCTAAAATATAATTTTGTTATCCATTTTGTTAAGAATGTTGTGCCTGAGAAGATACATAAGTATTTTTATTTAAGTAGCCCATATAACAAAAATTCATCTGATCATTAAAGAAAAAATAATATGGTACATTTTACAATTAAAATAATATGTATCAATAATTATATAATGGATTTTTAATGATGTGAAAAACAATGATAAAATACTCTGTGTCAAATTGTATGAATTTTTTATGTAGAATTATGTAGAAAGACTTCACAGAGTCAGCAGTAAATGATCAAACATGTTTATATATAGGTGATATGGGTATAAGATTTTTCTTTTAGTTTTTACTTCTCAATTTTTTTAGCCATAAATATGTATCACTTAACAGGAAAATATTGAAAATGCTATAATTTACATTTAAGGTTTTTTCCTTAACTTGTTTTATGTTATCTTTCTATAGGGCTGGCTTTGTTAGAAGAAAAACTCAGATATAACAGTGAGAAATACAATAAGTATAAGAAAGTGGGAGAAAGTCTCTACAAAGACCTGCTGGAGATATTAGGTGATGATGGTGTGTTCTTGTACCCCTCACATCCCACAGTAGCTCCAAAGCATCATGTTCCTCTAGCAAGGCCTTTCAACTTTGCTTATACAGGTACAAATCTTACTCTTTGCACTTCGTAATCTTAAAGAAATGAAGATGTGTTTAAGAATATATTAATTTCCTTTTCCTATTGTGTATAAGTTTTATCATATGATGATTGAGAACAAATTGCAGAAAACAGTTGCTAATATCTTACATGGAAGGTAGTTTATTAATATTCAGTCTTTCCATAACAACATTAAAGTCACTATGAATTTTCCAGAAGTGATACTTATGGAGGTATGTTCTTGCTGAATCCAATGTCTTCCTTGGCTGCTCCAGCATATAGTAAAATCAAATTAGACTATATCTCAGGACATATGGCTTCTCATAAGATTCTTGTGCAGAAGATAATTCTTTAAGGGAACATTTATTTGTCTTAACTAGTATATCTTTTAAATTTTATGAATTCCATTATTCACACATCCATTTTTTAAATTAGTTTAGATACTGCAGCTGGACCACAGTTATGTGAGGTATAAAATCCCCCAATTATGTACTGGGTCCTTTTCTCTGATTTATTCATTTAGTTTTTCTTCTAGCAAATGATACTACTCTCTGAGATTAAGATGGAAGCATCCTCATAAAATATGCATTACCAGTCTAGAAATCCATAGTCCACTTAAACTTGGAATTTGTAGCCCTGATTTTGTAAATTACAGTCTTCAGCTATAGTACCATGTGTGTATTTTGGAGCAAGACACTGAAACTTTCTGAATATATTTTCTTATCTAGAAAGTCTACAGTGCTGCTATCAAGGTTAAATTAAATAATGTACAGAAAATAATTGGCATGTAAATTTTTGTGAATTGGCATAGACAAGCAGGTAAGAGAATGAAGAGGCAGATAAATTGATAAAAATCCCAGAGCTAACTCTTTATACGTAAGTCATAACTTTGCTTTTGAACAAATAAACTTGTCATTTAAAAGGTGTAGAACGCCTGTGCCATTTTTAGTTGGGAAGCTTTTTTATTGTTGTCGTGAAATGCCTGATTAAAGATTTTATGTTTTCTTTGTTCAATATCGATAATTCATAAATTTCTAGGAATAAGTCCTTTTCTTCAAGAATCTCTAATTTTTTGAAGTACCATCCTTCATAGTAGTTACTAATGATGTTTTTCCTCACTAACTGCATTGATGTTCACGTTTTATCTCCTATTTTTGGTAAGTGTGGCTAAGGGCTTATTTTGTTTATTATTTCATAGAACCAGGTGTTGAATTACTTTTCCTTTGTCTCATTATTAATCACAATTTTATTAATTCTTGCTCTGATCAGTATGATTTCCTTGCTTAAACTATGTTTCAATTTCAACATTTTTTTGAGGGTTGGGAAGTACATTATTAAATTATTTATTTTCACTCCCTCTGCTTTGTAATGTGAGCACTCATGGCAATAAAGTTCTATACTTGAACTGCTTTAATTATGTTCCTTAAGTATTGATATATTTTACTGACATTATTGTTTAATTCTAAAAATTATTTAGTTTCTTCCTTGACTTCAGTTGTGACCTCATTGTATGTTCAGGAATGTCTTATTTAATTTCTAGGTAGAGTGACTTCCAGGTACTGCTGACAACAATGCGTGTTTGATTGTATTAGGGTAGAACACTGTGTTCATAACTATTAAGTCTATGTATTTGATGGTGTGGATCACCTCTGATTATTTTTTGTTAATTTTTCATTTTGTTGATCTGTTTCTTTATGAAAGTGGGTTATTGAACTCACCTACTGTTGTTCTGCTGGTATTTATTCAATCTTTTATACCCAATCTGTGTGTTTTATGAATTTATGTGCATTTATATTTACAAACATATATGTTGTATGTATATTTACAATTATTACAGCTTTTTGTTGAATTGTCCCCTTAGCTAATATGAAGAGACACTCTTCTCATCTTCTTATCTGCTTTAGCTTGAAGTGTCATTTGACAATAAAATTGCTGTCTCTGCTTGCTTTTGGGGACCTGGTATATGGAATATTGTTTTCTAACCATTGATTTCTCATCTATGAGTTTGATTTTTTATGAAATGACTCTCTTGAATGCAACAAAAACTTGAGTTTTTTTAAACAATTAATTTTGTTGGTACACTTTTCACATACATAACGGTCACATTCATCATAGGGAATTTGTAGTGTATCTTAATTCTTTTTCTTTCCAGTTCCCCTCCTTCCTTTCAATCTTTTTTCCTCTCTATTTACATAACTTTGTTTTTATTGTTTTATTCTCATTCTTTTTTTTTTTTACTCCATTGTGTATAAAGCCCACATTTACCTTATCCATTCATCCATTGATTGGCATATGGGCTGTTTCCAAGATTTAACTATTACAAATTGTGCTGTTATAAATATTAGTGTGCATATATCACTGTGGTATGATGTTTTAAATCTTTCAGTCGGATACCTAGAAGGGCAATAGCTGGAACAAATGGAAGCTGTAGATTTAGTTTAATTTTAGGTTTAGTTTTGGTATTTTGAAAAATCTTCATACTGATTTCCCTAGTGTTTGTACCTATTTATATTCCCCAGTGATGCAAGAATGTTTGGCGTTGTTTTTTGATCATCTCTTCCAATTTGTGTTTTTCAATTGGGAATATGAGGCCATTTTCACTGAAAGTTTTTACTGAAAGCTATGAACTTATTACTTTCACTGATTTCATTTTCCATTGTTGACTCCTTTATTTTTCCCATTTTTTCATTACTCACATTGTTTAATGTGTTTCTCTCATCAGACTTTTGATTTTGTTGGCTCACTTATCTCTGTCTACAATATTCTTTAGTATTTTTCTAGATGTGGTTTGGTGTTCATGAATTTCAGAAGGTGTGCTTTGTCACAAAATGCTCTTATTTCTCCATATATTTTTAATGATTTTCTTGGCTATATTATTCTGGTTTGGAAGCTGTTTCTTTTAGAGTTTAAAGCACACCCCTCTTGGGCTTTAGTTTCTGTTGTAAAATCTTCTATAATTCTAATACATTTGCCTTTCGAAGTGCTTATTTGATTTTCTGTGAAAACATTTGAAATACTGTCCCATTGCAATACAGAATTTTGTCTATGTTGTATCATGGGGAGATACTTTCTTCACTGCAATTATTTTGTATTCAGTAATCCCCAGTTACCTTTATGTTGATTTGTTTCCCCATATTTGGACATGGTTTGTTTGTTTCTCCATACTGCTGTATGATTTTTATCAACAGATCTTTATTTCATACGTGCTGCCATTTAATGTCTCCTTAACTCCTACTGGCCTTAGGTTATTTTCTGACCACCATCTAGTAGTTGTTAATTTTTCCTTACGCTCATATCACTTGTAAGATTTTTCTGAATAAATCATCATGTGCTTCATTTGTATCTTTGAGGTCTGACACCCTGTCCTCACACTGATCACTTCTCCTGTTTATGTATTCAGTAGAATATTTTATCTCCAGTATTTCTGTTTGACAAAATTTCCTGAAGTCCATTTTTCTGGTAAACTTTATATTTATGTTTGAATCATTTTAGCCAGCTCCACTAATTTTTATGTAGTGTTTCGGTAATCAAATTGGTCAAGATGATTGTTTGTTCCACTATCTTTTGGGTTATGTCATCTTTGAGTTTGCTGAGTTTCTTTGCTTACTCTTTAGTAGTATTTTGCAGCTTAGCTATTTGGTGTTTGATTTCTTCTCCATATGTGTTCCATGATTATGTTTTGGGAGAGTTGAGAGTCTTTGAGAGCATTTTGTTGCCTTGTATTTTCATGTTCATGGTTTTTATTATGAATGGTGGGATTGAAGTCGAGTACGATGAAAAGTATTTACTCTTGTAAAAAGATCTCTGTAGTTAGTTTCTGTTTTCAAGTGATCTGTTTTTGGCTTTATTAGCCAGAGATATTCTTTACCATTTCAACTTATACACCTTAATTGAATTGTACCTTGTCAGAATGTTGACAGGAAACTATTTTTACTGCTTCTAACCGCATGAACAGATTCATCCATATATCAACATGAACATTACATCTACTTTTGATAATTTAATTCTGCATTTTCTCAGAATTTTACCCCTTACAAGTATATTATACTGCCATTTGTTGTTAACTTGGAATGTGGAATGTGATGATGTATAGAAAAGTAAATGGTTATGTATATGAAAAGTGTGGGAGTTGAAAGAAATGGCAATAGGTGAGGAATATAGAGAAGATCAGACACTTTTGGAATTGTTTTTATTCCTAGAGTAAATGGTTAGCATTAAAGTGCTTTGAGAGACTGTGTAGGAGGAAGAAGGTATACAGATGGGTGGAAGTATATTTAGATATTAGATGAGTCAGATTTTTTTGAACCTGTTAATATATTTGTAATTAGTTTTATTTTAGTCTTCTAGGCTCAAATTTGTTAACTGTTACTCTAACGTGCCTTTGAATGGTGCTGTTTATATGATGGCACTAGATAATTCTTATTCCCTCAAATCACATATACAAGATATATATATATAGGAAGGACTAAAATCGGAAGCAGGACTAATGGAAAAATCTTAAAAGTAAAGTAACAATACAATATCAATAAAGAAGCAAGAGCAAGGAGTAAAGAAAAAAACTAAGACAACTCAGCACAAATAAATAAGCAAACAACAGTAAAAGTAGAATTAAAACCTATATGCTGTGGCCCAGCATCTGAGCCTGAAAAGGCAGGTGCCATGTTGGGGGGCAGGTCTGGAGTTGGTAAGCACAGTTAGGAAAGTACTGTATCTAGCCTTCGTTCTGGATGATTTTAACAAATTTTGTATATGAGGATGGAAATGCTTATATATTTATTGAAAATCCTTTTATGTTATTTGAAAATTATTTGGTAAATAATTGATATTTGAAGAGGCTTTTGGAGGGGAGGTAACACTGTTGATAAATTATAAGCCTGTCAATTGTGCAGAAAGGTACTGTTAGTGACTAATAGGATGTCATTGTTTTGTACATGATCCTAATCTTTGTTTGATATTTCTTTTATACAAAATATTTAGGTATCTGAAATTTTCAACCAAAATTTCA